ATAAACATTGTTGTTGAGCATTTTTGTCTCTTCAGCAAAAGCAAAGAATAAATATCAAAAGTAAAAAAAGAAAATATTTATTAAAAAATAGATAAATTGATGATTGTAACATTTGGCATTGATATTCAATTAATAATGAATTAGTTGGATACATTTTGTTGATTGTGAAATTACGTAGAGTACATGTGTTCTCAATTCATTCGAAAATCTTTCAGCAAATTACATTCAAGAAAAACGATTACAATTAGTATTGATAAATGAAAAGTGAAGGGGAAATATCTTAACAACCCAAATTTGTGAGCTACCTTATATCGTTTCAAGAAATTTACTAAATGTGTTACCATCCTTTTCAAAAAAAAACTAAATCAATGGTTGCCTTTTCTTCGTTATTGTTTTCATTTATATGTGTTTTCAGATTTAAACAATATACATATATATATTTGTAAACTTCTTCAATAGTATTACTCAAGAATATCACATCATCAAAGCAGTATACTCCAACACACTAATTCATTAAGCTCCGATCAGAATTCATTGAATTCGTCTGTCAAATGATGTGTTTCATAAATGATTTACGTTATCTACAATTCCTAGTGTCAAAGACAAATATCACAAGCCACACAGTAGGTCAACTATTATTAGAATTTTCATCTTTTGTCTTAAACACCTAAAGATAAGGAAAAATATGTGGTAGATATCTTCTATTGACTGCAATTTTAACACAACAAACATAGTTAACTGTAGTTTTTATATCATTTATCATGATGAATAACAATAGAAGCTTTTTGATATTTCTATTCTGCTGCTTGACTCTCGATATTGTTCATCTTTTGCCAACATTTGACACCAACCAAGTTCAACACAATCAAAGCAATGCTGACCCGATCCTCATCGAAGTATCGTGGACTACACATGACTATGATCTTCATACTGTTCCCGCTCTACAAGTTGTAGCCAATCCACTATTAGCTCGACAATTTTCACCCATTTACAAAGAAATTTTCGCAAATTTGAAGCAACTCAATGCTGAATATACTCGATATGCTGCTTGGTTTCCTTATCCTAAATTAGCCGTTGCTGAACTCGATCCTCCATCAGGTATATTTCAATGTGGTAATGTTGGTGAGAACTTTTCTATTAATTTATCTTGTGAACAAAACGGTGGCGTAATAAGTCAAGTTGATTTTGCATCGTACGGAACATCAACAGGTACATGTGGTCAACTGCAGCAAGGAGCGTGTCATGCTGCAAATAGTTCAGAAATTATTCAAAGAGTTTGTATCGGACAAAAAACATGCAGTGTTCCAGCAACAAGTGATATATTTGGTGACCCATGTAAGTTTTTGAGCATTAGCCCTAAAAACTGATGCCTTCGTTAGTATCATATTTCATTATTTCATGTTCACAGATTATTAGTTTTCTACAAATTCTAAACTATCACAAAAATAAATAATAAATAGAAGTGTCCTCTGAAAATTGTTTTCTTCAATCAATGATTATTTCATCCAATTCAGAAACCCTTTTAATTTTCGAAATACTTCATTTTTTAGGTCAAGGAATCCCAAAGCGATTACTGATTCAAATTCAATGTAATCCACCACAGAATAATACCTACTATAACTTTAATTATCTTGATACAATGCTACAGGATTTCCTTGATGCTACTGATGGTCACTCACGTATTATCTCATTTTCAACTCAACCGAATTGGCTTTTTAAGCTAGATACACCTCACATTTATCCTGATAATGCTTCATTAACTGATTGGCGATATCCAGTCGGTACAGAACTAGTCGACGATACAATGCATGCATTAGGTGACTATTATGGACGTCTAGTTGCTTGGTATACTCGGGGTGGTTTCATAGATGAATACGGTCGAAAACACACATCAAACTACGATTACAATTGGGATTATACGGAAATATTCAATGAAGTTGAATCGGAGCATAGTATGAATGTTGAATTCTATACTCGAGCATATGATGCAGTGATACAAGGTATTCGAAGACATACAAATAATTATGATATGAAATATGTTGGAATGGCATTGGGAGGTTTGCCTGTGCCTTTTACTATTCGATGATCATTGTATTTAATATATCTTTCATAGGACACAATGAGTTTGGTTGGTACAGATATTTTTTAAATCATTCAAATCATGCACCTGATATTCCACTTGATATGATTTCTTATCATTTCTATGCATTAGCTAATTCTCGAACAGATCCAAATGATTGGGAGTCATTTTTTAGTCAACTTGATGGCTTCACATTTGAAGTAGAACAAATCGAAGAAATTCGAAAGATTCTTTCACCAGAAACAAGAACAACAATTGACGAATTAGGTGTTATACTTCCTGATGACAATACACCGGGTGCACCTCAATTTCCTATGGTATACTGGAATGCTGCAGCTGCACTCTACGCATATGCATGGGCAAGAATATCTCGACAAGGTATCGATGTTGTTGGTCATAGTCAACTTCTGGGTCAGTACTTCATAAATATTATAAGTTTTTGTTTTCTATCATCTATTTTGTTTACATTCGATTGATAGGTTATCCAGAGTTGCCTGATCTTCAACTTCAACCACAATATCCAAGCGTTTCTTTACTCAATTGGACAACCGGTGAAGGTACAGCTAAATATTGGACAACTAAACTGCTCATCGAGACAGTTGATATTGACAATGATCAAGCAGTAGTGACAGAAACAACTGACCTTCAAGGACAAAATATCTTTAGTCAAGCATTTATTGGTAAGAATGGTCGTCGATGGGTATTGATTATTAATAAACGATATGCTAATATTGATGTATTCTTACCTGGTTGTACTGGTGGTCGAATGCAAATAATAAATGAAGCATCAGGCTTTGGTCCACCTACTGAAGTCACATTAGAATTGAGTAAAATAACATTAAGTCCATTTGCTGTTGCTGTTGTTCATATGCCTCCTGTAGATATAGAATAAACAATAGAATAGAGTCACTTTGAATTGTGTGTTAAGATTTTATTATTGAAACTTTTATTTGTGATTCTCTTGTGAATAACTAATACTAATAAATTATCAATATCTTTTTTTTAGAATGATCGTAAGAAGAATTTGAATCTTCTCACTTCATTACAATAAATTAGATTCTTTTACTTGTTCATAATAGATTTCCAATGCAAACGTTTTTTTTCTTAACGAAAGCGTCAATCCCAACATCTTTCACACAACATAGTCTGACTCAAGAAGGAACGATGATTTCCTGTGATTTATGAAAACAAAAACAAAAAATATTGATCACATACGTATTTTTTAAAGTAATTTTTAATCGAAACTGATTGAAAATATATTTTTGATATTTATCTAAAAGTTATTGCACCAATAAAACGAAATTCATGTTGAACTTTAAACAGATAATTTTTATTCAATCAACATATAAGAATCTCCGGCCTAAAATTGATTTTAACATATAGGAAAAAAACTTGTTGACTCATAATTTTTTTTAACTGATATATAGTTGTCAAATTAATGTTGAAAATATTTATTCCGAAATGTACATTTTATAAGTTACTTATTGATACCTAGATTAAAGATCCACGTTTGCGGTATTTTGTTCATGTCTTCTCATTTCCAAATATAAAATTGAAGTTCAACAACTTATAAATATGTAATTTCAATTTCTTTCAAACCCAATCTATTCAAATGGAAAGCAACCTGAATTTTTGTCCTCGATAAATTAGATCGCATATTGTTTGAATGAATGTTTCATTCAAGTTGGTAAAAACCAGAATTTTTTATGTTCGTTATCAATTATCAAATAGAATTATTTTAAAATAATTAAACTATTGAATTATAATCAATCGAAAAAAAGAATAGTTAAATTAACTGTATGATCTGAAATGACAAATAATCATGTAGGCTATTTTGAAACTATCGATAACGCATAACAAAGAATTGTTGAAAACCAGTTTTATTTCCAATTATGAATGTTTTTCTCTGAAATATTTGTTTTGGCAGCTAGAATTTCATGTAGAAGCTGGCGGAATTTTTCAAATTTTACTAGATCCATTTCTAAAACTGCTCTGTAACTTTTTTGCTTCTCTGATTGTAGCATCTGTAGGATACAATAGATTCTAATCTTTCTAGCTTTACTCTTATGCAACTTGTTCAAAAAACAAACTCTGTAATTTTGTAAGAAAATAACATTTTCTATTTACCGGTATATAAAGGTCAGACTTCAAATTACTGCTTTCAGACCGTGTCAAAGATACTCAATAAAATTGCACGTTTTATTTTGAAGCATTCATTGTTTTTGGCATTCAAGAAAATTTTACGTCTTCAAGGTAGATTCTATGTCTCTCTGTATTGACATATTAATCTCTTTGAAATTTTCGATCTCATTCAGACAAGATGACAATAAAAGAGGCGAATGGAACGAGAAAAATCTAAAACAAAATAAGTTCCAAAAAATCTTCGAGAAATATATTTAAATTTTCAACAAATCCTAACGATTTTAATAATTCTTTTCGGACTTAATCATAATCAAGACGTTCATACTCCTCGCTCAGTTATTGCACTCTATCTAGCGATATAATTTTTATTATATCTTAATGACCTTTCAAAAATATATTGAAGATACGTGCTTCAAGTACTCACTCGAGAGTACTTGAAAATACTCAAGTGCTGAAAAGCATCTGTGACCTACTGATACCAAGATACCTTGAACTCAGTACTTTCACTAGGGCTGCTGCTTTGTATTGTCCATCATTATAAATCATTTCTTTTAAATACAATTTGGTCATATTCCAAGTGAAAGACGCACAGTCGGACACTCAATGTTTCGACGGTAATACGATGTATGCCAAAACTTCAACTTATGGTCGGAAACGACGAGAAACCATAGTACACGTTATCGTTTTTGGCCGTGTACGATCATTTCTGATCGCCGTAATGCTCGACCTGGAAAGTAAGACATTATATGCCTATTGATCATAATTATTCAAATCATTTCTTTTGTTTTTTTCGTAGCAGTAATGATTTCGATAGGATAAGATGAATATAAGACAACTTGGTAATTGTGAAAGTCGTGAGATTTCTTCCGAATTTCTTCAAGATCATAGAAAATTAATCTGTATAAACACGATGCCTTATTTATTAGCTTGGACTATTCATGTTGACATTGATGATGTAAGAATGTTTGTTATTATATCGAAATCTGTTTAAAAAAAACTCATTTTTAGAACTACATGGACTCCGATCATCTTGCTGAATAAGCTGCTTATGAAGTATATTCGGGAGTGTGCTTAAAAAAACTAAGTGAGCTTGAAAAGTACAAATGAAACGGTAGATATATTCTAGTGATAAAGATCAATAAAAATATTGCTTTCTTAGGTAGAAAAACAGCAACAGTGTTTACATCACGATGATCTAAATCTCGATGAAGTGATTTAAAAATCATTGTCGCAGGTAACATGTGCTAATAATAGTTTATATCAGTGTTGCCAAATGTCAAACTCGAAAATATGGAAAGATTTTTTTTTATAGTCAGTTTTATTGATTTAAAGTATATTTTACTTGAACGGATTAGGAAAAAGATATTGTTCGTATCTACAAAGTGTATGTTAATAATAAAAAAAAGCACACATCAAAACATATTTAACTAAATTCTAAGAACATATCACTTACACATCTCATTCTTAGCTTGCGCGTTGCTTTTTAGTACAATACTTTCGTGCAAATTCGATATTCAAATACCAGTAAGCTTAACTTTTAGATGCAGCTTCCAATAAACTATGCAAAAAATATATAAATGTGAATTTTTAATGGTAAAAAGTGATGAAGTGCAATTGGTTTCATTTTATCTATCTTATATATCAAAATAATGACTATTTCCAATTCATTTATTGAGACAACGAATCAGAGATTTGATCAAACTGAAAATAATTAGTTGGTTGGTTATAACTCGGATAAAATGCTATAATTATTGTAACTTTTTATCGTTTTTCTCAATTGTCAACTTTTGAAAAAGTACTTTTAACTCCCACAGTGGTTTCAAAGCTTATGCAAATTTACGCAACTCAAACAATTAGAAATTTTTTTAATTGTTTGATGGACGTTGAAAATATCTTCAGGTAGCGAGTGCGGATATCGAAATATCAATAACCAAGGTAATAAAAGGATCATTTGTCATGATTATTTTCAATCAATGTAGTAGGCATTTTTCAAATAGTACGAAAACATATCTGTGTATCGGTATATTTAGATACATTTTTTAAAAGATTATAATGTTTGCAATAATCATTCTTTTTTTTTCATCTAAACAGTCAACGGCAAATAAATCCTCATACGAGAAAAAGACTAATGGGAATATATTTCGGGTAAAATGCGTTTTGACCACAATTGTTCTTTTCAATGAGATATTACATCATCTAATGCTCAAATATCATCGTCAACTTGGTTAAATATCTATATTTCGCATCGTTCATTGGCATCTAAGGATCTTTTGGTGCGACAGCAAACTTGCTGGTTAATCGTTTCATTAGAATCGTGTACTTGTCCAGTTGAGCTCAAAGTCTATTCTTGTAAACATTCGATTGGTTTAGGTATCCTATTGAATTTACACCAAGTTAACGATAGGACACATGTTGAACAGTTAGGTAAACGACGAAGAAAAGGACGTCCTAAGAAAGTTAATATAGCTTACAGTAAAAATATATTTTACTAACAGCGTTTAAGTATTCCTTGTCTGTTTTTAATTGAATGTTATAGCTACAGTTTTAGACAAATAAATATGTTGAATCAATGTTGAACATTCTCATGATCAAAACTACCCTGTTTTGGTGATCAGCATAATTGTGGTGCCCATACATTTTTCTTCGACCAACGGCAAGTAAATCCTCAGCAATGAAAATGGAATATTTCTGCAAAAAAAACACAAATTAATATTGAAATGTATTGAACGTCAAGTAAATCGTATAAACCAATTCTTAAGATGAATTAATTAAAATGATAAAAAATCTAAATTAATCATCATGGCAAACTATATTCAATCACAATGCCACATGTACTTCGATCGTCTTTTTTTTATCGATGATATATCAGTTAAATGTTCAAATATAATATAATTGTTTTGTTTTTATTACCGATATCGTAAAAAATTAAGTTAAGTTTTTTCTCAATGATTTTTAACATAGCATATCACTTATCCACTCTAACCATTGCGATGATACATAAAGCGTACAATCACAAATCCAATCATAATACATTATTCATGTACTTTTCTCTCATTTTTTCATCACATAGCATGTTCGATTAGATAAACCATACATACGAATCATATACATATACTTGACAATAAAAAAAATGGATGTAATAGCCTTCTATTGTAAAAAAAAATGATTTGATTGTTTCATATTCTGAATATAGTTTAGATCTAATTAATTGTCAGTAATTAAGCTTCATTATCGTTGGTTAGACAATAGAAACGTATAGAAAATAAAATTAATTCTCGTCATTATGTTCTTTTTCTCAATATCATCAAGATCTTCATCCATTGATATGTATCAAGGAAATAATTAACTTTTTATTATATAAAACAGATGTAAGAATTTCTCTATCATAAAAATCCATCGAACTTTGATAAAATAACCCGCTAAAAGGATATAATTCGTGTTTAATCAAGCTTACAATAACAAAATTAGAATTCTTTTATTTCGCTTTACTTTTCAACGATGAAATATATATCAAAATATCTTTTCATATACTGCTTCGGGCTAGCCAATGTGCAATGGTGCACGCGTTCCATTTGATGATGAGACATTCCTCAGTATATATAATACTCGTTTCGTTTTTTTTTCTTCTTCTTAACGCATTATCTATATAAATATCGTATAAAAAGGTGCATGCACGCGCATCTTCCGCTTGATGGACAGTTGGAGGATACAAACGAATGTGTACATATTCGAAATCAGACGCGCGAACGTAATGCGAACGTTGTCATTCTCTCATATCGATTCAATAGGGATAAAAAAAATAGAAAGAATAAGTAAAAGATATTATCATTTTCTCATCTGTTCGAACATTAGGGCTCTTTTTGTCATTATGAAGTTTCAGCTATCGTTTGATTATTGGAGATATAGAAACGATTTTAACCAATCGATAGAAATAACCAATCAATAATATAAATAAATATGTAACGAAAAAAACAAAAATAACGCGATAAGATAATTATTCAAATGTTTTCGTAGTAGCTAATCTAAGTAACATAGTGGATTCTAAAAAGGAAAGTATGATATTTTTTGCCGAAAAAAGACAACAGTTGCTATTGCGCTACAGTTCTTTAATATCTACGAAAACATGTGCAAAACGATTCAACGAAGGTGAAATATATAGGATTTATACTAAAAGACACATTAACATAACATGAAATCAATCTAGAAGAGTATATAATCGAATCCTCGAAGCTTGTTCATATCCGCTAGTACAACACACTATGAGTGACAATAAGAAAATATATAAGATTAGTATCTTTAATCGACATGAACTCTATCAAATCGGTGACTTCGTTTGTCTAATAAGATGATAATCATTCTTTGCATGTATGAATTTTATAAATAGATGATAATTTGTATTTCTAAAACAATATCACTGATACTTTGTGATTAATGAATGACAAAAATGTTCATATCTTATTCGATTAGACATTTGCCCAAATATATATCCTTAAAAAACAGATTACTAAAAGATTTGAGTAAATCATGCCATTGGTTTATTTCATGTTTTCTATCATATTGAGATTCGGTTGTCTCTTTTCTTTTCTTTTTGTTTTGTTTTATTATATATAGAATGAGAATTTTAATCGAGCAGATGCCTTAAATAGAAAAACGATATGGTTTGTTTTCACCAATCAAATCAACCATTCGTTTCAACAAATGAAAACGAAACGTTAGAATGGAAAGGAAGAAGAAGAAGAAGAAGAGAAAAAAATCGACAAAAGTAAATGACGAAGAAAAAAAATAGTAGCACAATTGGGCAGGTGTATACATGTTGCTTCGTTAAGATTTTCTTCGCTTTTCTTTTTCTTTTCTTTTTGAGTACATCAAAACTTTCGAATGAACATCGTTTGACATGATTATTTTCTCCCATTGGCATCGAAATAATTATACTAACTTGATCGTTAAGTAGACCATTTCAAGTGTGCAACACTATTGATAGTTAGTCGATGATGATGATGTACGTGTATGTATGGTAGTAAAGTGGTTCTTTTACTGAATAATCCATCGGTGAATTGTATTTATTTGCTCTCTTTCTCTATGCTTGATTATTCATTTCACATTGAATGAAAAAAGAAACAACTGTACTAGTCACGTATTTGATTATTTTTTCTTCTTCTTAGATTCTTTTTTGCAACGTTGAATATATCTTTATATAAAAGTAAGTAAGGAAAAAAAATAAGATTTTCTATTTATCTTTGCGCAAATGAATTAGAATTGATAAGAGGATGATTTTATGAAATCTTATATCTCCTACTCCAGCTGACAACTCTATTAACTTTCTCTTTAGAAATTATTTTGTCTTTCACTATCTTAAAGCTTATCACCAGGGAATCAGCCATAGTATTAGAATACTAATATTATCATTGATTCGATGTAATTACTATTGGAAGACAACAGCAGATTTTTCGATGTCCCATTTGACCATATTTACATGAGATAATACAAGGAAGACTATTCTTTTTTCCTATTTTATACTTGTATATAAAAAGAGAGGAGTTTTTCTGAGCTTTTTTTTATCCATCATTGAATGAAATGAGATGCCTCATTTGATGTATCAAATTGTTTTAGAAGGTATTTTTTTGTTCGTCTTTTTTTCAATGAAACAATTGGCAAAAAAAATTAATTCTCGTATTGTTAAGGTCATAGTGGAGTAAATCAATTAGGTGGAGTTTTTGTTAACGGACGACCTTTACCAGAAACTATACGACATCGAATCGTTGAACTGGCTCGCCAAGGCGCAAGACCGTGCGAAATTTCACGGAAATTACAAGGTAAATATAAAAACTAACAGTTGAAAATTCAATATGCTTGTTAAATTATTTCTAGTATCAAACGGGTGTGTATCAAAAATCCTGGGGCGATTTTATGAAACCGGCTCGGTTAAACCGAGAGCTATTGGCGGCTCAAAACCGCGTGTTGCTACACCAGGTTAATATATTATTTCTTTGAAGTTACTAGTTTAACTTTTCAAAAAAATTTCTCTCTCTCTCTCTCTCTCTCTCTATTTATATATATACATATACATGTGGTTTAATTAGATGTCGTAGCAAAAATTGCAGAAATCAAAGCAGAAAACCCATCAATATTTGCTTGGGAAATTCGTGAACGTCTTCTAAATGATGGTGTCTGTTCACAAGACAATTTACCGAGTGTATATTTCTAATGAAACTTTGTTTGTTTCTTTCTTTATCATCATCAATGTCTTTTTTAGGTATCTTCCATTAATCGTGTACTACGTAATTTATCATCATCAGCATCATCTTTAAAACCAACTACAGATTATCATCAATATCAAACAAGAGAGTTTCATTATGATGGTTCATCATGTAATTTACTTAATCCACCACCAATTTGGACAGTATTAGGAACTGCAAATCCTACAACAAATTCATCATATACATGGCATCATCATCATCAACATCATCAACAGCAACAACAACACTCATTAGCAGCATGTAATACAACAGCAATAGCAAATACTAAAAGTAAAATAATTCAATATCAATGAGCAAAATAAAAAATGTTGTTGTCTAATTCATTTAGATGGAAATAATTCGATTGGAGCTCAATATGAAACATCGAATGAAGATAATAATAGTGTTCACAATGATGAAGAGGATGACGATGATGATGTTGAACAAAGTATAAATAGTGATCCCGATTTAAAGTTATCATCACGACAAAAAGTACAACGTAATCGAACAGCGTTTACTCAAGAACAAATAGCTGCACTTGAAAAAGGTTTTTTCTCTCCAATAGAATTTATTTTGATTATTTGAAAATTTTTATTCATCTTAGAGTTTGAGCATACTCATTATCCAGATGTTTATGTACGTGAACGCTTAGCTAAACATATTAGTTTACAAGAGAATCGTATACAGGTAAAATTCTTCTGTTTTATTTGTTTTATCGATATTTCTACACTTTTTCAATGAAAAAAAAAACAGGTTTGGTTTTCAAATCGAAGAGCTAAATGGAGACGTGAAGAAAAAGCACGCAATCAAAGACGTACTCATACAGCTTGTGAGTCGTCAACAGGAGCAACATCTGCAACTAATACAACAATTTTATCTAAAGCTTCTCCACCACCACCACCGCCGCCGCCGCCGCCGCCAATGTCATCATTAAGTCAAGCGACAACATCACCATCGTCAATTATAGCTTCTCCATCAGGTTATATGATTGATTCGAGTGTCCCATCCTCCATTGGATGTTATTTTCCTACTGGAACAATGGACAATCGACCGACAATGGCTGGTAAAGGTTTTTCACCATATTCAACAGCACAATCTCATAGTTATTCTTGTTCATCATCAGGATATCCTTATCCATTATCAGCAGGTTATTTTTGTTTTTACTTTTTAACCTATTTTTATATAGCTTTTTCTTTTTTATATTAAATTAGTTAATTGTTATGATGATGTTGCGTTTCCACCTTCAGCATATGTACGACCACCATCATATCATTCTCATCACAATTCAGATTATAATAGTTTTGCGTCAAATGTCATGTGTCAATCATGTATGAATAAAAGAAAATAATCAAATTTTTGTCTTTTAATTTTAATCTTTTCAATCTTTTTAGCGAGTATTCTTCATCCGCCAATGTCATTACAATCGGCTCATCTTACCTCAGCACCATCATCATCGTCATCGGGCACGAATACATTTTGGGATCGGTATTGACAATAATTTTCAAATGATTTGTAGATATGAACAAGCAAAAACAATAAACATTTCTTTTTTTTGTTTTGTTATCTTTTTGTGTTTGTGATAATCGTCTCATTGAATAGAAGTTCGTATATCCTATTCTCCACTTGAAATGACGAACACTTGACAGTCACCACTAAAATCAGATCAGCAACGCTCGGTTGCACTGCTCATTCACTCACTCAATGTATGAATGACTCTCTATGACTGAACAGCTAGACAGACAGACAATATTGTGTGTATGTTACTGGTCAAGCTTGATCGGTAGTTGTCCATCGACAAGGATGAAAGATTGATTCACATTTAAAGTAAAGATGATTATTGCTCTTTTCTCTCTTAAGCTGTCCATTCGGCGTACCTTCTTAATGTATTGTTCAATGTTTTTATTTTGTTTAACATTGAATCGTCTTTCTAATAATTGTTATTGATCACAATTGAAGCAAAAAAGATGAAACAATGATCAGTCAGACATGACTGAATGATTGACAATAAGCAAACGGGAAATAAAAATAAATGAATGAATGTGTGAAAGCATACATATTGATTATAATTAGGCTTTGTATGAGCATCGAGAAATGAATGCGAGATGACGAAAAGATATGAAAAACAATCAAAACATATTAGTGTTTTAATATCAACTTTTGAATACAGCTTCTTGAAAAGCAACTTTGTGGAGTATTTACGCTCGATGTAGCATTATGGATGTGTGAGTAGGAGAAAACAGGAAAATTTATCCAATTCAATCTAAGTCCAAAACTATTTCCCAAATTTGTAAGTAAAAAGTACTTGTGAATGGTATCATAGTGATTTACAGAGAACTAATTTCCAGAACACAGTTAGTCTAGAAGTTAACATTGATGAATTTTATTTGTTTTCAAGCATGCAACATTGGCTATAGGAATCAAGTTCATTATACCTTTATAGACACAAATTGTCATATTTAGGCTGATTTATTTTCAAAATATTTTTTTTTTGTGATTGCTTCTTACTATGCTGTTAGATGACTACTGAGAATCATCTATATTTATTACTTGACAATTGGAAAAACTACTCCAATCAGGCAAAAAAATAGCTAAGAAATTTGCTACCATCTAAAAGGAAAAGCAGTCCATTTTAAGCAGATCGTATCAGTGATATTTTACTTTTGCATTGTAGTGCTATATTGTGACTATGGCCCATCCTGTAAAATAATAATATGATTTAAGACCGTATAGATGAGTCTTGTATATGTTTTTTTTATGCTTGATTAATCATAAATGATATATTCGTATTGTCGTCCGTGTTAACCATTTATAAATGTAATAAAATGCTTCTCAAATCTCTTCTATCCATAGAGATTATTTATTCATCGTAAAATAACGACCAATAAGCTATCCGAATCTTAACAGATTTCAACACAACTTGATAATTATGTTCATATAAAAACTTTCTTTTATTTTGACTTCACTGATATTTGATCTAGATTTTAGGATTGAAATCTAAAAATCACTACAAATACAAGAAATATAACTGCAAATGTTTGAAAATAATGAAGATTTGGAAATAAATTCGTACTTTTCTATTATAAAGAGGTGTCTTGATACTTATCAGTGAGCATATTTGCAATGATGATTAAAAATGAAAATAGAAACGATGTGCAACTTTATTTGTGAAGTTTTAAGTTTATGAAAAGTGATTCTGCCGATTAGCGTGATACGCAAAGCATCGAAATGAAGCTCTTCAGAGGTATCAAACACAACATTTAACTCAAGTGATAGTTCAGATCTTTTCTTTTTCGGTTAACTGTAACTATCGTAGCTAATTTGAAAAATAGTTCATTTAAAAATCGATACTTTTAGAGAAAAAGAATTATTTTAAAGCTCTAATATGTATTTTTCTCGAGTTTTTCAAACGACCAATTAACACCATTTCTAATGATTGAAAGATGTGACGCTTGTCGTCGTTTTCGAGTCAAACTAACTTTGAGACTACCAATCGATCAATGGCGTAATATCTCACGCGTGATCTTCTCCGTTGTATACAGTATTTCTGAAAAGATCTAAGATCTGTTCTTGTTGATGTATACTGTAATGATAATATATCTACGAACGTTTGTCTTTTCATTTAAAGACAGATGAAATATTCCAACTGAACCACTCAATGTTATTATTAATTTAGTAATTGTTTCTAATGAGAAAAAATGTTTCCTAATGATAACTAGTTAGTTATCGTACTGTTCATCCTTTTAACATGATAGAATCATTGACCGATATTTTAAAAGGCCACTAAAATTAGTGGATAATAGCAAACATTGAAACTTATTTAAATCTGACAGCAGTGCCTAAATCAGAACATTAGTAATACCATGGAATATTTAAATAATTCTTGACTAATTTAAATTAGACCGCTTTGCAAGACTGAGATATCTACGCTTACATGAAGATTTTGAATAATATCGATGTTTATTATGAGAAACTAATGCAGTTGGCACCAGTATCCTGCTTCTTCTTCCATCGGAATCGAAGAAAACTGTAGAATATTCAAGTGTTAGTAATAAAACAACTCATGGTAACCACAAAGTCTATGATGTGTACCGCTTTTATGTTGCTCTCATCTTACTATTGGTAGTCAACGGCAATCAAAAGAAAATTTATTACACTTTGATTTCTCAAAAAACAAATACATCAAGACTGTTTTTATGATATTCCACTTCATGAGAATGTTTGAAAAAGTTCTGAGATTCTATAACAACGAATACCTGTTGCTCGTTGGTCTGAGTGATAATGTTAATACAACAGTAGCTATTTATAGACAATAGATCGATACTTGCTATGATTTCAAAGCATTGCCATCTAGATGAATCGAGTATTTCTATACAAATAAATTTAACACATGTTTGAGTAAATGAACTACCTATCAAAGTTAATGGAATGAAATCAATAAGACGATTCTATCGAGCATACAATTATTTCACGAGAATCTCTCGAATAGAATATAGACGATAGGTTGCAAAAAATAAATGTACAATAGGATTTGACTGATAATTAAGTTCAATCTTCTCATTATTCATATCATTTACTAGTTTAAAAAAGTAAAAAGTCTCAAATTATAATGCTTTCTTTTTAGTTGATTAAAGCAAATATAATCTCAATCGATGTTTTCAATGGTACCAATTTTATCATTGTGCTATCAACAGTCAATTAGAAAATACATCGTGAAAACCGATAATATTCATTGATCTTAAATTGATAAAGAGTAAAAAGCATAGTACTATCAATTATAATAGAATCCTTAAATCATCTGATTTGAAGGACACAGATGTTGGCCTATAATGTACAAGAATAGAAATATGTGTCTTAGTTTACGCTGCAGATAAGTATTGTATATTTGTGTATCTGATATGCGTATGGAAGAGAATGCAACAAGAGATCAACGTCCTAATCCTCGGCTAGAATGAATTTCACTAATGATACCATATTTTGTAGAACTAGTTAACGTATAGAAGTCAATAGTGTTATTATTTTGAGTTCTCCAACAAAGAACACTGGTTCTTAAAAAGAAGCTAGTGCACAAGCAAATGCAAATTCGTATTGCACTTATGGGTCACAAGTATTGAGATTTATATTTGTAATATAAACGACGATTGACGTCTAATTTTAGTAAAAGTATGGCAAACCGAAACGTTCATCTAGTACAATTACGACAAATTTACTGCTATTGTATGCAAAACCAATCAATGTCAAAATTGTTTAACAGTCACTAATATATTCTATTGAACTTGATATATTCAAAAGAAACAGAAAAAAGGCTCAAAATTTTCAAAAGTCATTTCTGAGATTTTCTGACACGTACGTTCTATGAAATGATTTATTATTTGAAAATAAGTCAAAAAGGATATAGCTAATTTTCATCAACTTTCACATAAGAATTCAGTGCCTCTTTATTTTATTACAATTCATTCAAATAAACTAAAACAAAAAGGTCAAACAACAAGAGTGAACAAAACAAAAATTTTTAAAAGAGGTTCTTCCTATAATTGTATGACAAAAGAAAAAAAATTATAGTCAAGATAGAAACTATACAGTACTGTTATGACACAACAGCCATTCGCCTTTAAAGAAACAAAAAGAGAAAAATTACAAAACAAAGGATGCTAGACAAAAATCATCATGTTTCTGATTCTGTCAACATAGAATTTTCACCAAATTTATGATGATGAAAAAAATGATTTGTACTATTCTGACGCATAAGTACCGTCGGTATTAAATGATCATGATGTAGACGATCATAGGGTATCGATGGTAGAATTGGCTGTGGTGGCCCACTAATTTCTGATGTTGTCATTGAATCAGGTGGCTTTGGCCATGTATGCTCTGAATAATCATCTTGCGGAGATGATTCTATTGCTATTCGAAAACCAATAGGATCTGGTTGTGCTTTTGTTAAACTTTCAAAACCAATTGGTAATACTGTTGGCTTCTGTGTTCGACAAGGTACAGGTGGTGGTGCAGATTTTTTCAATGGATTTTCTTCAAGTTTACCATATATTTTTTGACTACTAAAACGAAGTGCAATAGCATCATGATCAAGATCAATTGTAGCTGATTGATGTTGAAATGATGATTTTTCATTATTATTAAAATTCATTGACGAACGAATATCATTGAAATGTAATTGTGATACTGCAGGTGGCAATGGTGGTGGTTGTGATGGTGGTTGAACACGTCTTAGTGTGCTACCATGTGACCGAGGTAATGTACGATCTTTTGGTTGTGGTGAATCAGCAAAACTAATATTTTTAATACCACGACATGTTAAATCATCGTGAACATTTACCGTTGATGAAATATGTCTTAGAGATCGAATTGGCATCGTACTTGAGCCATTTTTAATTATTTCATCTGTGTTTGTTGTAGATGATGACGACGAAAGAGTCGGTGAAACGGGTAGAATATAAATACCATGAACTTTTTTTCGAAAATCAACTGAACCACGAGAATGCGATTGTTGAATCGAAGAAAAATTATGTTTATCAATATCCTTCGTATCAATATCCGTGTGATGATGTTGTGTTAATTTATGTGATGGTGTAAAACGTGGTCGTGAATGTTGACGAACAACAGGTATAATCGATATATTTGAATGATGATCTTTTGATTGTTCTGAAAATGTGAATGATTTTTCGTGATCAACAACTGATGGATGATGAGAAAAGTTAATAGGTAATGGATGTCGTTGACGTTGAATTGTATTAGCAGCACTTGTTAGACAAGGTGATTTTGGCGGTACTAATGTTATTTTTTCTGTTTCTAGACAAAGAAAAGAAGAATACTTGAATTATTGAAAAGTGAAAACGATGACTTTATTTCATCTTTTTTTCTTTAATCCACTTCGTCATAGACGTATCGTGTGATTGTCCACTCGAATTAATTGACACCACTAACAATTCTATAGACAGCTTTGTTCCCTTTTTTTAATGTCTCTCTATTCTCCTCCACTTAGCCTCGTCACAACAACAACTACTCGTAAATGTAATTCAATGCCATTGTATATATTCGTTCAATCGTTTGTACTAGCGGTCATATATGCATGAATACCATTTCAATGGTCACATATCATCATTGTCGGTCTAATTTCAATTTTGAGTTTTATTAAAACACACCAACCTATGTGCATACATACATATGTACATGTAGCTATACTGCATATGCACATAAAAACACTTTGTACGTGTATACGTGTATATGAGAAATATGAAAGGCTGTATTTGTACAGCTGAATAAAGGAAAAAGAAAAAGACATCGAAAAAGTCAAGGCAACATTCACATTATTCCCTTTACTTTTTTTTTCGAGTGTATGATGAAATGTTTGTATTAAGATTCACTTTATTTCTCATTCTTAGATATGATGTAACTATTTGACAATGAAAAATGTGTGAAATGTATTGGACTTACCGGTGTGTGATAAATATAATGTATAAAAACAATAGCGTATTGATGCAATAATAGCAGATAGAAAAAGAAGACTAATTACAATAGAACCGATCCAAAATGGAATTGTATAATGAAGTTCACTACCAGTAAAAGGGTATCCGGCTGTAACTATAAAATAAGAGAAGAAAAAGAAGCAATTCATTATAATCAAGAAACAAAATGATAAAACGTTCAAAAACTTACTAGCAGTTTGTTCCTCAAGAAGACTTTCATCATCATAATTTCGAGAAAAATAAGTGTGATTTTTCAATAGAAAATTCAAAGTCTGTTCCATTAATCGATAAATAGATCATCAATCAATCTAAAAAATGAACATATACAAGTTCTAGTACCTGTTTGATAATGCAGACATATACAGTAAACGAGAGTAATGTCTAGACGATATATGCTGATAGCGATATATACAACTTGCATTGCTGACTGTACTAGTGCACGAACATGTCAAATAAATGCAAAACAGAATGAGTGAGAGAGAGAGAGAGAGAGCGAGAGAGAGAGAGAGAAAATATATGAGAATTCAAACAATATATGAATAAAAAAAAGCAGAGTATTTATGAATACTCGACTCCTTCGTCTCTCACATATTTATGTATATGGAACAATATAATCAACCTACTTCTGTTCTCTGCATGTACATACATATGATGTAATTATTCAATCGATATTGAATAATCAGAAGACGACGACTTGAACGACATTGAATTTTCTTTTTCTGCTGAAGAGTATTGTATATGAATGAAAACAATTCTTTTCTTCTCATCATTATAACCGAACGGAAAGAACATAAATTACAGATACGAAGCATTTATGCGTGTAAATGCATGAATGTATGTATGTATATATTAGTGAAAAAAAATTGCTTGGTTATTGATTTATCAAACAATAGAACGAGTGACCATTCGAGCATCTCATTGACCTGTTCATATTCTTATCAATATCTCGAAGGATAAACGGAGACGACAAAGAAGAAGAGGAAAAAGAAGAGAACCTACATCTCCTACAAGAAGTATGTGCAAATAAATCATGATCATATCTTGTAAAGTAAACTATCCTTATGCTTATCGGAATAAAAAGAAGAAAGAAGAATTTTTCATAAATTCATCAAGAAATCTCTTTCATTTGAATATCTTTCTTAGATCTTACTCTATATTCTCTATTCATAACATACCAATATACCCTTTACTGATGAAAAAAAAAACGAAAGGATATTTAATAAGATCGATCCATCCCCTACGTAGTGAAGAGCATACATAAATATAATGCATAAGTCTACTTATGTAATACAATCACAAACGAAAGCATATATGCCTATAGAAGAACAAGAGAGAAGAGAAATAATATAAAAGAAAAATAGATGAAAGGAAAACAAAGTGTGAATGAGCCCAAATAGACGTTGAATACTGTCACAAGTAGTTTGTTCGATGGCAGAAATATTAAGTATCATCTTGGTTTGTTCATACGTAATTCTCTTCCTGCTGTACATTTTATGAACATAAGGCATGAAAAGAATGAAATTATATGGAGGAACAAAAAAGAGAACATTTGCTACAGAGAGCGAGAGAAGAGTACAGTATCCTGTTCTTCTATTCAATTATCGAAAAAAGCCTTGTTTCTGCACTGGCTTTCATCTACCCATATATCCCTATGATATATATAGAGCATGTGTTCGACGTGCACATTTCTTCTCCTTTTTTTCTCTTGTGTCCGTAATAGTACTTACCTCGTTGTCTATCTTATGCCACAATAAATCATCATATATGGGGTAATCCTATTCCATTATATAGGATAAGAAATAGAAGCCGAGAGAGAGAGAGAGCGAGAGAACCGCTTATATTACTGACAGACTATGTATTATTATTGTTCGTTGCTGATGGGGAAGAAATAAAAGAACAAAATTGCCCTGTTGAGCCTGTCTATATGGCATACATAGAATAATGAATCAGAGAAGGGAAAAGAGAAAGAACACCCTACGTTTTGTAACTTGGAAATAGAAGCCTGATGGTACTGTCTATGTATAAATAAAAGAGAAAAAAGAGCGTTGTTTAGTATCAGTCAAGTGCTTCGTTAAACATCGATCGTCTCTTTACTCAGTCATATCTACAGTATACAAAAAAAAGAATGAATGTATGTCGACCTCGTTTCATCTTTTCTCTCTTTCTTCTGTTCAATATATACTCTCGTTATAGTCGTATTTTTGTGACAAGTGAACTGGATTTCTTTCGTTCTCTCTCTCAATGTATTGCGAACGAAAAAAAGCAATTAACCAACTTTTCATCGTTGTTGTTTTCGTCGTCTTATCTGTCCTATTCGTATAGTATACGTAGATATGTATAATCATAAAGTGGTCAATCAATTGGAGCTTATATTTTATTCTTGTGTCGACCTAGATCATATATCAAGTGATTTATGTAAAAGCTCTCTTCCAAATATCGAATGAGCGACAACAAAAAAAATTTGTAACAAATTTCATAAAACACAAAAATATCGCATAGACATAAGTAAAAATTAGAGCATAGAAAGCAAACCAGTATAGAACTGGATGACAGTAGTTATTATTATTTGGATTATTTGTTTGAACACGATATCGAGCACTAAATACCCAAACGTTTCCAAGTAAAAACCAAATAAAAAGAAAGATGACTATGACACCTTGCATACCACGTGCAAATGCCGTGAAACAGATTATGAATGTATGAGTTGATTTTCTTCCAATCATATATGATCGATAATATGTACAAGCTGATGAGAGAAAAACAAAAAATATAATACCAAAACCACAAGCACCAGAAACAATCATATACAATGGAATCTTATCATCAGCAGGACAATCGTGCATATAACGTATACCCAATGCAAATTTTGTTAATGGCAAAGCAAGACACAAACTTAAATATAGAAGTGCGACAAAAGTACTGCAACCACCGGAACATAGAGTTGCATATAAACCGGGACTTTTTTCTTGTAAATATTTCTTTTTTCGTTTTATACGACGGCGACTATGAGTTGGCAAAGGTCTTTGAGAATGAATAGGTACAATTTGATATTGAATCGGTTGGGGTGGTACATTTGGTGGTAATGCTATTTGATAGAGTGGTCGTTCAGAACGACTTGTTCTTGCAGTTGAGTTTGTTGACGGCGAAGGCTCTTGGATATACGCACGTCGTCCACTAGGTGTCCATATCGAATTATCTATAGATTCATGTAGTGATGGATTTGGCAGAGTAATATTTGGTCTTGGAATTCGAAATTGATCTTTTTGTCTTGATGATGGTGAATAATTTCGATTTCTTGAATTCGTTTCATCAAGATTGTGTACAGTTAATTGACGTAAAACAACAGGTGATGCTCTTCTACTCTTAGGTATATATGAATTAGCCGATGATGATGTTGATGATGAAAAACTATTACTAGTCTTAGGTGCAGGTTTACGGCGACTAGAAAACATTATTACTCAATCATCAATTTAATAGTGCTCTTTTCATTAAAATTTAATGAATACGAAGAAGTATCTGTTTTATATTTTGTTTCTTTTTCTTTTTTTCTTCTTCGTTTTTTTTTTGCATACCAAAGAGATGATGCGTAGTATTATTTGTCTGCATATTGGATATGAGCAAATAATGAAAAGATGACACAAAATCGGACAAGAAAAAGAATCACTGTTGACTAAAAAATGAGACTCGAGATGAGTAATGATCATTATATGATTTCATTGCATGTTCAAACAATATTCGCCTACACTTTGTATGACCAGTAACTAGCAATCAGTTTAAATTTGAATAAATTTTATTCATGGATCTTTTTTGTGTTCGCTTCATTTCTTGCACTTAAATTTTCTTTACATTAAGTAAGTGATTGACAACTGCTACTCGATAAATAAGAGAAATTCTTCTAGAAATTTATAGATGGCCTTGTTTTTCTTTAATCAGAACTCTATTTTTTTTCTGTTTTTGAGAAACAACGAATAATCATGATTATTTCTAAATTCATAGTTAAAATTGAAGTAAAATTATTTTTGTTTTTAGTTTAATTCCTTTTTTTTCTTAAAATAGTGTAAAGGTGAACATAGACAAATATTTCTGAATAGAAACGAACGAAAGCAACACTTTTTTTTTCAGTATATATTTAAATTAAGAAACGTAAAAGAAACGAAGGCAGCATATAAACAGAAGAGAAAATAAAACAGCAAAATTCTTTCTTTTTTTCTTCTTTTTTTCATCAGTTCTTTTTCTACACACTGTGTTGTAATCAAAATCACCTTTGTTTTCTTTTCCTTTTATTATTGTTCATGACCTTCAAGACGAGTAGTTATGGCACAATATCCAATACCGAATCCATCAGGACGACGTGAACATGAACCAATTGAGTTTACTCGAACGTTCAATGCTATCCAACGACCCAGTGTTGGGGGCCCACAGTTTTCGACTTTCTTTGATGAACGTATAAAAAGTAACAAATTACCTCGTCCAACTCAAGTTACTGATAAACGAATCAATTTCCTTCCACCAGTTCTAAGTCTCATACTTGGTTCAAATTATTTTTTAACTGTTTTATGTATTATTCTCGTTGTTCCAATTCTTGAATTAGTAATTGGTCTAGTTTTTCAAGATAAATGTCCTGCAGAAACTAATATACCAAAATATTTAATTGTAACTGGTGCATGTGGTATTGTAGCTATTGCTTTGACAGTAGCGATTGTAAGATACAATTGTCATTTATTTATTTTTATCACTATTGAATGATGATTTATAATTAATTCAACATAGGTTATTTCAATTAAATGTTGTATTAAACAAGATTCCATCGCTGGATCATGCATTAGTGGGTGTGTGATCGGTCTTATAGTATTGACTATTCTTCTGATGTGCGTTTTTCTCTTTGCTTGGTTTATTGCGGTAAGTAAAAACTTATTTTAATTCTTTTTAAAATGATTATTAAGTTCTTGCCTATATATGTTTGTGTGTGTCTCTTTTACAGGGTAATGTTTGGGTATTCGGAGCGCAAAATAAAATTGATTTTGATAATGAAAGATCACCGAATTATTGTCATTCAATTTTGTATAATTTTGCTTTTTGGATAATTATTTTAACCTATATTATGACTGTTGTTACGTGCTGTTTATCCTGTTGTCGTGCTTGTTTTGGATCAATATCTACACTAAAAGCATAGGCAAACAAAATTCTTTTGTTAAAAAACAAATGTCAAGATTAAAGGAGAATTTATTTGCTTTTTTCAAATTTGTTTCGCTTGTAAAAAAAATGATAATAAAGTGTCTTTTTTTATAACTGCTGGCTCATTTAAAGTTGACAGGCAATGTCATATGAAGAATTCTTTTTCAATATCAATGAAATAGTGTAACCGATAGTAAGAACATGCAGTTGATTTAATTGAAGCGAATATATATATATATATATATATATATTTACCACTTCTCTAACAGTATATTTAATGAGTTTCAACCTGACAAATTTCAGACAGTGGCAAAACTACGTTCGGTAACCCATAACACAGATTCTGTTTTTCGATTTCTTTTTATTAGACGAACGGAGTAAATAGACTATTTACTGAATTGAAAAGACTTCGAAAATATTTTTATTCATGTCAACTGTTAAAATAGGATCGAATTTAATCTTTCTACGAATCTTTTTGATTTGCAACTACGCTTTTAAACTCTCAGTGAAATTTAAGTATATTCTAGTGGTGTAAACAAAAAATAGTTTGATCGCCATCATACTTCGATTTTTATGTGTTTAATGAAACAGCATTATTTAATCATAAGTATCAAGTAAAAGATTTCAATTCGTAATTTTCTACTCAATGATTGAGTTGATTGTTTCCTTTAAAACAAGGCATTTTTTTGGAAGTTTCTCAAAATAAAAGAATCATATTTTGTTTTTCAAAATTGAGAGAATGTTTTATTCTATAAATAGAATACTAATGCTTGTCCATTCAAGTAAGCAAGTCATGTGAAAATAAATATTTAAAATCAAAACAACAAGTGAAGATACAATGGACTAATTGAATCAAAATAATAACCTTTACATTCTTTGCTGAATTTTCACCGTATTTAACAAAAATAAATATCCAATATATTTTTAAATAATATTGTTTTTATTATTCTTGACATTCATGATTAAAATTCTGTTAAGCATCATAAGAGATAAATAAACAAAAAAAAATATTCATAAATCGTCTAAAGAATTTTCTGGATATTCGAAAGTATAAAGTAACAATCTGAATTAGGAATTACAAATGATAATCTCATGCGAGATTTTCAAAAATAAACAGTTGTCGATAAATGGAAAATTTGAAAGAGAAAATTGATGATGATGTATCGCTTAGTCTAATGTTTAATTGTTAGAGGAAAATAATCGTGTCATTACCACTGACGAACATTCAGATATATCATTGTTGATATTAATATTTATTCAAATAAACAAAAATATATTTAGCTGAATATTAATTGAAAATGTATTCATAAAAAATAACCTTCTTAATCGACATAGAAATTTGACTAATGTAAATTGTTGCTGTTTATGATTTTTTCTAGCAAGTTGCATGCATTCTATTGGAAGCCATCTCATTTTATTAATAAATACTGCTATTAAAAATGCTTCGTTTAGAAGCCACATTGACGCTATTAGTTTTTTCTCTTGACTGGTCAAAATAATTTATTTAATAAGTTCTCATTCACAATTGCACGATTTCTGATAAAGAGGATTGTATCTGTTGTGATGGCTTACGATGTCTATTGGTAATCATATTTTAACTTGGTCAATTATTTGACTTAGAAATTTTGATGGTTAAGGATTTCACCACATGTTAGTAACGTTTGTTTTTAGTTTGTCGAGGTCTAGTTTATTTGATACTTCAAAGAAAGAAAAAAAATCGCAAGATTTTGTTATTTGAAGATTCTAGTTGAAGTCTAACGGTTAGAAATTCTAATAGAAAATTGATCTTTTCTTTAGACAACTCATAATCGTTAGTCAAGGATTTCATACAAATAAGTTTTATAAGTTTAACTATAAAAATATCTAGGAAGAAGATTTTTTGTCATTGACAAATTTTGATTTGCATATCAGGAAGAGTAATCAAATATTTGCTATGCATTGAATACAACATGACATCATAGGGAACGAAATAGAAAAAATGCACAAGGTATAATGTCGGAGACTCCTACAAAATACTAATATAGTATATCATTTATTTTCCATTTGAGACGCTTCAAAGAAATAATTGAAATTTGAGTATGTGATTAGTTTATACTAGTGTTCATGGTCTATTAGTTCGAAACCAATGAAATTCATGGCAATGCAATTGAAGTTAACTTATTCTCATTATTGAAAAAGTTTTACATGCGTAGTCTGTTAAATGCAATAGTTTTTAACAATTCGAAAAATAGATTTAATTAGCTCAAGCATACGAAACTTTACCAATTTTCGAAATGAATGACAATGATTCATTTCAAATCGAACCAAATTTTTACAATAGATAGCACTATGTCAATTGTTACTCTAATCTACACATTTTATAATACGCCTAATATTTTTAATAAACATGATTCAGAAGTGGTGTTGCAGAATGTTGAGTAGAAATTTGTATTCTTTGCACTCTCCATAGTTAATATGAACTTGGCGATGCTATATCGATAATAGCTCGTTACAATAAATTAAGTATTTTTCTATGATATTTAGTTACAATTAAGTAATTGAAACTCAGAGAAACGCATATATCCCAAGATATATAGAGTAAAGCAATCTTCTATTGACTAGCAAAAAGATCTATTTTTGTGTTGCATGCTTTCTCTTTTCAGTACAATTGCTGCTGAAGAAATATAGAATAATTCCAAATCAGATATTTGTGTTTGTGAAAATATTATTTCTCAATTCAGCAAAGTCAGTAGATTATCTGTATTCCTTGAGTACAAATTTTTTTTCTAAATAACAATTCAAATGCGCTAGTTGGCTAATTGTATTCATCAGACAGTATTAATAATTTTAATAGAATATGCTAATCGATTATTTACGAAAAAATCGTTATCATCAGCGACTAAATGTGGGAGGTTATTAGCATACGAAAATCTTCCTATTAATAAACCGAGCGCATATATGAGTGACCGCAAAGGGACAACTCAAGAACATGTTAATATCACGTAAGAAAGTTTGAACTGTTTAGTAATCAATTTAAGATGATTATAGGTTTGTTGAAAATAAGTCTTCCTCAAATGAAAAACAAAATACAAGAAAAACTAACTTAATAAGTGTTACAATACCATTCATATTGAAGTTCGCCATTTACATGTCCATGTATATATCATAGATTATGTTATCTACTTTATCATTAGCAGAAGAGAATTGAACGGAAAATCAAAGACTATAGAAAAATATAGAATCAGATCTCGATTTGTTTTGATTTTGACAATGCATCTTTACGACTGCAACATGTTATGAATGATTATTTTTGGATTGCAATATTTTATTTCATGGAGTTAATATTTTTATTAATATGAAATGATCAAGCATTCATAGGAAGAATGAGAACATTCAAAATGCCTTTGACATGGAAGTTTTCATCTAATGATATTGATAATCATTTTTTTTATCATATTCAGGAGTTTGTTTGATTTGATTAATTTAAATTTGGAAATAAGTGTGTTGATATATTGAATGTCGTGATTTACAGGAAACACATGATTCTATTTTCTGGAGAAAAATATTTCAATCAAAATTTGATGATTGTGCCGAAAAATCAAACCTATAATCAGTTTAGATGACTTTAAACGACTTTTTGATGCTCGAAACTTTCGAAATGGATTGAGACTCTCCTGGTATCAGTTGATAATATGTTTATGGTTGAATACATATTTTGCGGGTTATGCATCTGAATTTTTAGATTCGGCTTTCTCATCATTCGTATCAAAAAAGAAAATTCATAATGAAAATAAGAGTTGACCAACGAGTCTGTTTGACATCTATTAACTATAACAGAATATATATCTTTATCCTAGTCATGGTCTGATTGAAGTTTTCTCATGATATACGCAAATTAACAGTACCAATCACAATAAAATGATTGTTTGCTACATTTATTTCTTCTAGCATTATTAGTAATAAACATCATGTAGATTCATGAAAAAAATAGAAATAGTATGGCCATGTGATTCATGATACAGTCACTTTTTCCGCCTGAGCAAGCGAAGAAAGCAAGAATGTGCTAGTTGTGAGCATAGTTGGCATTTATATTAAGGAGCGGCAAAGAACGCAAACGAGGAAGAGCGCATGTGCAAATATAAAAGAACAAGTAAACACGCGACGAACAAGCATTTTGCTTTTCATATATCAAGCTAGAAAAGTTTTTTTTTCTCCATATTCGCAACGATCAAATGGATACAGCTGCAAGTGAAAGATCCAGCGAAACGACTCCGTTAAGCCGAGAAAATACTGAAAAATCTATAATACCAATACATACAGTTAGTCAAACATTCGGTACAACTTATTTTCTTGTGTAAATTCTATTCTTATCATAGTAATTCAAATGTAATTTAAATGTCCAATTTTAGGTCAGCATTATTGGCATCTATTATTCCAATAATTCAACTGTCAATTGGTCTGTATTTCAAAGGAATGTGTCCTATTGATCAGCGTATTCCAACTTATATGATTGTCGCTGGTAGTTGTGGCTTAGCACTCGCTGGTCTTACAATTTTTCTCGCTATGTAAGTTTAGCTTTTTTGTTTGAAAATTCTATTCGAATTGAACATTTTCATTTAGTACATTTAAGTGTTTAATTGCAGATTCGACAGCAATGAATATAGTGGGTAGTTGTGGTGTATGTTTAAATGTATTGGCAACAGTATTGATATCAATATTTCTTTTTATTTGGTTTATTTTTGGTTGTGTCTGGGTATTTAACATTCGCAGCGAAGTACAATTTAAAGATAAAAGTAGTGGCAACTATTGCAACGCAGTTTTATATGAAGCAACGTTTGTATTACTTATAATATCGATTATTTGGGCTTTTCTTCAATGCTGTTTCTCATGTTTTCGGCAATGTTGTTCAACAGGACGTGATTGAATGGAATAAAAATTTCTATTGAATATTTCAAACATTTTCCAAAATTCAATTTACAAGAAATTAAAGCATAATATTTTAGAAAAAGCGAATATCGTATCTCAGTATTGAAACTGATAAATAAAATTTCGTGATTTCTCTCTTTTATAAAAATCGGACCCCGACAAAAATTTATTTCCTATAAATAGGTAGCTAGTTATTGAGAAGAAAGCTTTCATCTTTTTTTAAATCTATTTTAGTAAATAAATTCTATTATTCACACTTGAATACTTTGACTATTCTTGATTTATAAGATTTCTCTGTAATAATCTACATTCATGGAAAATGACGCTTTTCGAGCTTCAATATATTTTCTTGGTGTATTTTTAAATGTTACTTTCAAAGGACACCATTTACCTTTGGCTATTAATATTAGTTTGTTTTTTACTACGGAGGAAATGATTAATTTTATTAATTGATCAGATTGTCTTTAAATTTTACATTTATTTGGAATGGCATTGTGTATATTGAAAATCTGTTCTTGTAAATTTTGAAAAAAGAAGTATCAAAATGAAAACGAAATAAATAAAATATCGCACGTAAACGATTCTTCAAACAGTCAGTTCCTGTTGTACAAAGCATTGATACTGAAAATCGTAGTTTAAAGATTATGAATATTGAATTTATCAGTAACAAAAAGGCTCAGTAATCATTTATATGTATCGTTCCAAATGCGTTTCCCTATCAAATGTCTAATATTAATTCGAGTTCTATGATCGTACTCTATTAGATTTCAGAGTAAAAGATCATCATACAGAGAGTTAAAGTATCACTTCGAAAATTGTAAGAGAATACAATAAACCATTGATATTCTATAAATAATCATTTATTTTTGAGTTTCAATCTCTTCTATTCGAAAATATTTTCCATGAGAAAAGTTGGACACCGTCAAAACAGAATAAAGTTGATGCAATCAATAATGTATAAGAAAAAAGTGTCCTCAATCAGTTTAATTCGTTTTAATCTATTGGAAACATATATGTGTGATATTTTAATTCAGTTTTTAACAAACTATGCACTTGTGTCAGGTTTAGTGCTTGTTGGGATCCATCAGTCATACATAGGTGTATCACAAGAATGACTTTTTTCGATCTCATCATTTGTTTCCGTCAAAAGAAATTCATTTGTCTGCTGGTGATGCTTTCGATATGCGAATTGAGTTTTCACATTTCGTACTAGCAAAAACACGATCATTATCATACTCTAGCTTTTGGCAGTTAGTTATTTTGCATGAAGCTAAAATATTGGTTTCTTTTCTTTGGAGGCTATTTTAAATGTTTCAAACTTTTATATTCGATTGATTTCGATTACAAACAATGACTTTAAGAAGAAAATATTCTGGTTTTTCAATAATTCACAACTGAAGTTTCAAGATGCATTCATTTTAATACGAATTAAAATAGAATTCTTTCATATTTTCGACTGGCACTTATACTTTGTGAACTATTGAAGAATTTCGAATCGCACATTCAAAGTTAAAGGAAAATAAAATAAATGAACATGTCGAATAGCTACTTTTTAAGCGAACGATGAATTAATTGGTTCTTGCAAAGAATAGATAGAAATACTCTCAACATTGTTAACGTATTTTCATTAACTTGAGCTCTACAGCCTGAATGATTATCTTGTGAATTAAAATTTGTAAAAAGAAACAAAATCTCTTTATATTTGTTATGAAAACGATTTAATCTTTTTTTTATGAGTACAAAAATTAACATAACTAAAAAATAAAAAATCTTGAGGAAATCCTCAATTCGTACACAAAATTGGCAAGAAATAAACTGAAAATCCTTTGTACATCTTAAGTCTACACGTTTCATATAATTATTTTCATTCTGAATGATATCTTCTTAAAAATTAAAAGGCAATTGTGAGCTGTTCAGCTGTCGATAAAAGTAGAATAGGTTAAAATAACATCATCATCATCATCATTAATTCGGGCATAAATAATTATGATCAAAATAACCATAAAGAATCAATTGTATTCTGATTTATTGTTCTTTAAACAATTTAAATATTCTCTTAGTTTTCGGTTGTTTGCTATTTATCAATGCTTTTGCGTTGACACTAAAAAAATCTTTATATATTTCTTTGTTTGACGTTTGGTGTGTTTCTAGGCTTATCAAGTGAGCAATCATTCAAAACAAATGGATCCTTTTACAGTTCATAAACGATCCTATGCTCTTGTCTTTACCCATGACGCATGTGTATAGCAATATGTTGATATTTTATTATTGTTTCTGTTTGTTAGCAATAGTCACTGAAGTTTAGTTGTACATTTGCAAATATAGATATTTTCGGGCACATTTTCAAAAAATTAAATATCATTCATGCATTCAGGACAAATTTTAGTTGATAAAATCATTTTATTTGATTAAATATTTATCAAATCGCTTTATATGATAGTAAACTAAAATTACGAGAGAAATAGAAGAAATCACTCTTAGTAAAGATTTTCAATACTATTTTTATCGTTGTGTCTGAAATGGACAATTTATGAAAACATATAAAATCATTATTAGACAATACTAATGTATTTTTGAGAAGATCAATATTAAAAAACAATGCCGATGAATTGTACTTAAAATTATTGAATAGCATCCATTAAATAATATTGAACTATTATATGATTAATTCAAATATCAATGTTTAGAAACAAATACAATAGAGAATCACAAGAGTAAAAACCTATAACATCCAAACGTTCATAGGCCATGTAATAGTTAGAAGTACTACTGTATCGAAAATCATTATAAATGTCGTTGTGATTCAATTTGAATTTTCAAAATTCAAAAAACATCCAAGTCTGGTTTAATCTACAACTTAAACATCAACTAGTATAAAGAAGAAGATAAGCTAACTTTATTTCGTCGCGATACTTATAGAACAAAATTTTAATTTCTGATTCAATGAACAGTTATTACAAGTTATATCGATTCAGTTCATACTGCTTGAGAGACTGGAAAATTCATTGAACGGGATAAAATATGAATGTTGAGTAGAATTCTTACGCATTTATTTATTTTAATCTAATGTCGAATAATTCTCAGATTTTACTCATGCACAAAGGTACATTTATTAATGTAAACTTCTTAATTATTCAGAGACACATAGGCTTCCACTTTACATTATAAGAATAGACATTTTTCTAATAGTTGGGTCTGTTTAAAACTTCAACAATATACTACACATTGAAATAATTTAAAATTACAAGAGTCCATTTTTTTTCTATCTGTAATTGAGCCTACAATAAGTAGGAGGTTTCTAGTCGAATACAAAAGTTGTTGTAGGCGTACTATTAAGTAAGACAGTAGTAACCCGTCGTTGCTTTTCAGTTTTTAAATTAGTTATTCTCATTTTATTACACAAGAACAGGCTGACAAAATAAATATAATCAATAGATTTACTATGATATTATCTTTCTCCTTTGCATTTGATCTTAAAGCTTGAAGGTTTTTTCTTTGAATGTGTCAGTGTGATAGACATGAGTATATACACACTCATCAAATAACACAGTCACATTCCTTTCTGTCTTTTCACCAAATGCTGTTTCAAAGGTTCGTTTGACACTATCTGATATATATATATATATATTTATACAGTGACATTGAGAAAATTGCCTATATCATACATATTACCTGTTTTTGTGAAAAAATAGATTTTGTATAATTTTTAATGCAGTGACAGCCCCAGGTCGAACAGTCCGGCCTGGAAACGGCCGGTTCCGAGTAGTTCCGTTGATTTTGTGGAAGCAGTATTCCGGTTGGAAATTTTTCCGGTGATTTCCGATCAATTCGTGCCGGAAAGCACCGGAACTTGGCAGGAATTCGCCGGAAAAGTCCGGCCGTATTTTTGACCGGAATACTGCTTCCATTTTCCAGCGATTTCCCGTGTTTTCCTGTAGGATATGGTGACTTTCCCGCATATTCCCTGGAGTATTCTACGGGATCCGGTGGCCGGAATGTTCGACCTGGGGCGGCGCGGCAACAACTTTTTGGAAACCTCCGCGGCAGATTTTCACCCGCGATGGACGTCTATGATAGATAGTCCTTAATATATCTTATCATAGTAGACAGCGGCTGCTAATATGTCTAACAGTAGCATATATTGGTTCCTACCGTTCTGCTTTCGATCTAAGGTAGTGTGTGTATACAGTAACACAGAATTCTGTAAGGGACATAATTCAATATTGGTACTATTCATTGCATCTTAAAGTCATATAGGCATTAATAGTACAGAATTCTTGTTGTTTTGCTTGTGAGAATTCCGGTACCCTTCAGTTTTCTATGATTCTCCGTTTTTGAGGTCATTATGACAGAAAATAAAGAGAAAGATGCGCACTATTAAGTAAAAAGAAAAAAAACTCGCAACGGGCTACATAAACGCTTCTGCTTCGCATCACATTAATTACTATTTAAGGCGAACCATAAAAGAGATATAATGAGTCTTATTCGTATGTGACTCAATTCAAAATCGACGGTGGAAATCAGAGACCGAAACCGATGACAAAAGTGCTATTCGATTCGACTCAAATTGGGTTTACAAAATATGGTATTCACTATTACATAGTATTGTTGTTTTCAGACTGCCATCGTCTTAGAATGAGAATAGCCTGTCGATCTTCTATAGAAATATGTTGAATAAATATAATTTATGAAGATATACATAAAAATTATTCATTTTTTTCAAGAATGAACACAAAATATAAATTAATGAACACATCTAAGTAGACTAATTAAATAAGTTTATTTTCTATAGAACGAAGAAAAATAATATCATTTACTGTATATGGATCTATATTTACAGTTGACCGTAGCCATACTTAATAAATAAAGAGCTTGATATTAAGACCCCAATCACGTTGCTTAATTCTGTTTTATTTTTTTGGTCTGTTTGGGGTCTAATTGATACATTAAGAGTTAAAAGAGTGAAAATCACCTCTAAAATATTACTTAACTCTTAAT